TAGTCACTCACTACAACTATACCTCTATCTCTATTAGCTTAGAAGATAATCCAATATAAAGGTTAAAGCCATACCATAACTAGTCATTAATGAGTATTTAAGAGTAGTTTACCACATATATATAATTACATACACATAGATTATTAAATCAGCAGGCCTCCACTAGTAGTGCAGAGCAGTTATGCAACTCTTGCATGCATACATGCAACCATTAGGCCTCCACTTAGTTACTTAATTGAATATTTACACAGCATTATTAGCTCAATGCATGTACTCTTTGCAGGAGGCAGTGCAACCCACAAGGTCACCACCAGCAAAATCACCTCAACTGCATCACCACCAGCAAAAATAACTCAGAAAAGAATATATAAGGAGGCCTCTCCTTCACCAATTCCCCCCATCATCACCCAGCCGGTTCATCCCCCCCAGCCAGCTCAGTGGTCATCATCATCATCATCACTCAGCAGCCCAGCTCCCACCCAGCTAGCTCAGTGGTCATCAACACAAACACCTCCAACATTCAAGTCTAATCAACACCAGTAACACCAACACCAACACCAACATCAACACCAACACCAACACCAACAGTTTCACTACTTATCCAGAATCACCGTAAAAACTACAAAACCCTATAAAAATATTCCACTTGGATTGTTTTCACATCCATACTCACCGTGTAAAGGTTGTACAACCATCTTGTATTGAATTACATACTGATCTAGGTCTGATAGAGACTACTACATATAAGTTTTCTCCATCATAAAGTTACGCCACAACAATAAATTAAATTGTTGTCAGAATTCTTGTGTAGTAAATAGAGGGGCAGGTCTTTCAAACCACCCGTAACAGTAAATATTACTTAGTGAAATATCATTATTGTTATTTCCCCCTCAAGGACTGCAAACCCATCCCCAAGGAGTTCTTACAGCGCCAATTTGCTACTCGTTAGTGGTGTGAATGTTCCCACGTACTTCTGTAATCCCCAAATGAACTTCTTCATCCACTGTACCATTCCCAAAAACTTCTTTACCCCCTTTGCTGAGGATGGGGTCTTCCTATCTAGAATGTGAGTGATCTTTTTGTTATCTGCCTGTATGCCGTCTGCCAAGATCCAATGTCCCAGGAATTTGATTTGATTTCAAAATAGTTGAGTCTTCTTTGGGCTGCAGTACAAATTTGTTGAGTAAAGCCGTTGGAGTACTTGACAAACATGTTTCTCATGTTCCAAAATTGAATCCGAATAGACCACAATGTCATCAAGATAGACCACGCATATGGTGTTGATAAGTTCCCCCAGCACCTCTTCTAACCGTGCTTGGTGAGTTGCTGGCGCGTTCTTTAGACCCATAGGAATCACAAACCACTCCATCAGTCCCCACAGAGTCTTGACTGTGGTGAGAGGGATATCTGCCTCCCGCATTCGAGTTTGAAAAAAAGCATTTGTTTGGTCCAAAATTGAGAATACCTTCCCCAGTGCCACCATACGTACCAGTTCATCTACATTTGAAAGTGGTGAGCGGTCTTTGACTGTAAAACTGTTAAGTGTCCTGTAGTTGCAAACCCAACCTGGAAGTGCTGTTGGACCTTTTTTTGGAATGATCATGCTGTGTCCTTCCATATTCTCAATACACTCGCTAATCTTCTTGTCCTTGATCATGAATGGTAACTGAAGAGCTAAGTCCTGTCCGCCAGCTTTGTGCAAGGAAGCTATCTTCTCTACACATTTGATAAGCAATTCCACTTCTGATCCGTCAAAGTCTAAGTTCAACTTCCTTGTGTCCAGAACTACACCCTTTTCTTTGTCCAAGAGCTTGATTTTGGATTTTGTCCTAGTCTGACTAGTTTCTGATGAAGTTACTGCCAGCCCTAGCAAGCTTTCTTCTCCTGTGCCAATAGTAGTTTCCATTCCCGCCATTCCGGTGTATGGTGTTGAAGTTGCAAATCGTAAAGATTTTCCTTGTGGCGGTGGAGTTTCAGGTATTGGTATAGCCTGTGGTTTCTTTACTTGATTTATTAGTGACATCACCATCTCCTTCATTTGTTGAATCGAGTCCTTAACTTCTGCCATCTCTGCTTGCTGATTGTTCCATGTTGAGTTCCTCTGTGATTGAAATATTCAATTTTTGATATGAATTTGGAAAATACCGTTGGAAGAATTCCTCTATTAGTTTTCTCTCCCCTTCTCAATGCTGCTTGCCAATCCTTCCTTTGTTGTCCTGAATAAATTTCCCATCTTGCCTCCAAGTTCCCATGTCTTGCTGATTGAATCCTTTGTCTCGCCAATTGACCCCTTCTTCTTGTCAATCCAATCCTTTTTCTTGCCAGTCAAATACTTTGCCACCTCAATCGTATCCTTTGTATTGCCAATAGACCGTTCCTTATTGCCGCCAAAATCTGCCTTCTTCCCGTTATCCATGATTGATTTGATGTTGAGCTTGATTCACTAGAAAAATATGATTGATTTGAATGATCTTGATGAAGGTAATTGGCCACTCTTGGGACACCAGATGTAGGACTCCTGGGACAGATAGACACGGTAAATTATATGTATATCAAAAGATACCTTGAGGGGGAAATAAATTGCAAATAGGTTGAAAGGCTATTACAACTTACAGGTGGTTTGAAAGACCTGACCCTCTAAATGTACTAAACAAATAGCTAAGAGTCTTGTAATCAATATTTAATAATTCACGGCTGATTCCAAGATAGAGCTTACTTTTGTAAAGTAATCTCTATCAGACCTAGATCACATACAAATTCAGGTTAATAATGGAAAATGTGATGCTGATGACCTGAGCCCAAAACAGATGAGTTCTTATAGGGTTTGTTAATGATCTCTTCCCCAAAGAATTTCTTGCTAAGGCACTTCAATCAAAAACTAGAGATCCGGTACTACTTCTACTACTACTTGTTATTGGTTAATTTTTAATGTACTACTACTTGTATGATGACTACTACTACTAATATGCTTCAAATTCTGAACTCTGTGTTGGTTTCTTACTTACTATACTGTTATGATTCGCTATTTATCACTAACTAACTCACTACTTAACTCTCTAACTAATCTCTCAACTAACTAGGACCAACTTACTCTTTTAGGCTGATGTACTAACTTCACTGTGAAACCTCGCCACACACAGGTTTCACAAATCAATTGTAGAGGCTTACATAATCACCCCAACTCATTTCATCCTTATAAACCAAGCACCTCCACCCCTGCCTAACTCGGTAGAGAACTCCGGCCCTTTTTCTTCTACCTAGCTAGGTGAGTAAAACCATTTGATAATTCTCTCTCTTTTCTCTTAATCATGTTTTCTTCTCTTTTCTTGCTCTCTCATCAGATTCTAATTTTTGAAGTTGTACTGAGAGAACTCCGGCCCTTTTTCTTCTACTGAGCTAGCTCTTTGAAATTCATCTGTTTCAGGTTCTATAAAATTTCTCTCCAGGCCAATTGCCTGTCTCAACGTTGTATTAAGCTCAGATAGTGAAGAGTCAAGACATGACTCTTACACTTTTTTTCCTCAAACCTACCCTCTCTCATTGTTTGATGACAACTTGTTCCAACGCAAAAACCCTTTTCCCTTTAACTGATTCGGAAGTGATACTAAAGAAAGGTTGACTCCAAAAGAGATTGGACACGGCTGCTAAAAAAGGCAACTCTGACACTCATCAGAATCTTAGCAATCTTCCGGCCCTCCCTCTTTCACCAACAATGTCGGACATGCCAGAAACCTCCTCTAAAGCTCATGACTCTTCTATTACAAAAACCAACACCTCACTAACACTAGATGATTACCTAAAAGGTATCATGAAACTTCAGCACCAGAGTATTGACCAAGCTAATGTTGATTGAAACGCAATCATGGAAAGTTTGAAGTTTGAGCAAGAACTTCGTCAGGCGGATGCAGATTGCATCACAAAGCTAGAAGAGGCAATACTGCAAATGAAAGTCAAATTGGACCCGGAAACTCAATTGACTCGGGCGGAGACAGTTCGCATCAACCTCCAACGCTTCCAGTCATCAGACGGTCCACTTTTTTTGGGACCGTTTCAGGATGTCGAGCGATTTATAACCTGGATCCGTGGTGTCCAGATTTTTTTGCCACGAAAGGCGTCACTCATGAGGACAACAAAATCCAATTGATTGGTGGTCTCATCAGGGAAACCAACACGACCACGTTCTACGCTAGCGGTTTTGAAGGTTTCCTGGGAAAACCTTGGACAGATTTCAAAGCAAAACTTATTGCTTTTGCGCTCCCACCCAACTGGCGCACAATGCTCCAAGGGAAATTCAAAAACCTTCAGATGCATAATTACGAATCGTTTTTAGCCTAAAGTACGTGTTCACGTACTCTTCAGAGCATGATAAACTTTGAGCTCAAGACGGAAGCGGTCTCAGATTTTGACTTAGCAAGATCTGGGAAGAGATTGCTGTCGGTGACTCCGGCTACCAACACTGAACTGCTGGCAGGTTGTCCTGCCGGTGGTTGGGTTGGTTTCCCTGCTAGTGTCAGTGCAAACCCTTTAGCTCTTGGTGGCCTGTAGTCCCTTGGTTTTGGTGGCACAACAAAGGATGCCGGAATCTAGATGGGTGACTTATCAATTGGTCCGGCGCATTTCCCTGGGGCACTGCCGCATTGTTTCTTGCAAAAGTGGCATTTGCCCTGGGAGTAAAGGAAAGAGTGAATACACCATATGTATTCCTCTTTGGGGAGTCGGCCTGGTTGTGGGTTGGCTGTTGATGGATTTGCTGTAGGGTTTGCATGAGGTCTAGACTGGACAAATGAATGCTTGACAAGACCGTCCCATAAAACGCTTGCTCTGTTCTCAAACGTGCTGAAGACAAATGGTTCTTGTAAGAGCACCTGGTGGTTGTTGATCTCCGCTTGGAGCAGGTCATTCGTTCCAAGTGACATGGACTTGGCTAAGTCAAAATCTGAGACCGCTTCCGTCTTGAGCTCAAAGTTTATCATGCTCTGAAGAGTACGTGAACACGTACTTTAGGCTAAAAACGATTCGTAATTATGCATCTGAAGGTTTTTGAATTTCCCTTGGAGCATTGTGCGCCAGTTGGGTGGGAGCGCAAAAGCAATAAGTTTTGCTTTGAAATCTGTCCAAGGTTTTCCCAGGAAACCTTCAAAACCGCTAGCGTAGAACGTGGTCGTGTTGGTTTCCCTGATGAGACCACCAATCAATTGGATTTTGTTGTCCTCATGAGTGACGCCTTTCGTGGCAAAAAAATCTGGACACCACGGATCCAGGTTATAAATCGCTCGACATCCTGAAACGGTCCCAAAAAAAGTGGACCGTCTGATGACTGGAAGCGTTGGAGGTTGATGCGAACTGTCTCCGCCCGAGTCAATTGAGTTTCCGGGTCCAATTTGACTTTCATTTGCAGTATTGCCTCTTCTAGCTTTGTGATGCAATCTGCATCCGCCTGACGAAGTTCTCGCTCAAACTTCAAACTTTCCATGATTGCGTTTCAATCAACATTAGCTTGGTCAATACTCTGGTGCTGAAGTTTCATGATACCTTTTAGGTAATCATCTAGTGTTAGTGAGGTGTTGGTTTTTGTAATAGAAGAGTCATGAGCTTTAGAGGAGGTTTCTGGCATGTCCGACATTGTTGGTGAAAGAGGGAGGGCCGGAAGATTGCTAAGATTCTGATGAGTGTCAGAGTTGCCTTTTTTAGCAGCCGTGTCCAATCTCTTTTGGAGTCAACCTTTCTTTAGTATCACTTCCGAATCAGTTAAAGGGAAAAGGGTTTTTGCGTTGGAACAAGTTGTCATCAAACAATGAGAGAGGGTAGGTTTGAGGAAAAAAAGTGTAAGAGTCATGTCTTGACTCTTCACTATCTGAGCTTAATACAACGTTGAGACAGGCAATTGGCCTGGAGAGAAATTTTATAGAACCTGAAACAGATGAATTTCAAAGAGCTAGCTCAGTAGAAGAAAAAGGGCCGGAGTTCTCTCAGTACAACTTCAAAAATTAGAATCTGATGAGAGAGCAAGAAAAGAGAAGAAAACATGATTAAGAGAAAAGAGAGAGAATTATCAAATGGTTTTACTCACCTAGCTAGGTAGAAGAAAAAGGGCCGGAGTTCTCTACCGAGTTAGGCAGGGGTGGAGGTGCTTGGTTTATAAGGATGAAATGAGTTGGGGTGATTATGTAAGCCTCTACAATTGATTTGTGAAACCTGTGTGTGGCGAGGTTTCACAGTGAAGTTAGTACATCAGCCTAAAAGAGTAAGTTGGTCCTAGTTAGTTGAGAGATTAGTTAGAGAGTTAAGTAGTGAGTTAGTTAGTGATAAATAGCGAATCATAACAGTATAGTAAGTAAGAAACCAACACAGAGTTCAGAATTTGAAGCATATTAGTAGTAGTAGTCATCATACAAGTAGTAGTACATTAAAAATTAACCAATAACAAGTAGTAGTAGAAGTAGTACCGGATCTCTAGTTTTTGATTGAAGTGCCTTAGCAAGAAATTCTTTGGGGAAGAGATCATTAACAAACCCTATAAGAACTCATCTGTTTTGGGCTCAGGTCATCAGCATCACATTTTCCATTATTAACCTGAATTTGTATGTGATCTAGGTCTGATAGAGATTACTTTACAAAAGTAAGCTCTATCTTGGAATCAGCCGTGAATTATTAAATATTGATTACAAGACTCTTAGCTATTTGTTTAGTACATTTAGAGGGTCAGGTCTTTCAAACCACCTGTAAGTTGTAATAGCCTTTCAACCTATTTGCAATTTATTTCCCCCTCAAGGTATCTTTTGATATACATATAATTTACCGTGTCTATCTGTCCCAGGAGTCCTACATCTGGTGTCCCAAGAGTGGCCAATTACCTTCATCAAGATCATTCAAATCAATCATATTTTTCTAGTGAATCAAGCTCAACATCAAATCAATCATGGATAACGGGAAGAAGGCAGATTTTGGCGGCAATAAGGAACGGTCTATTGGCAATACAAAGGATACGATTGAGGTGGCAAAGTATTTGACTGGCAAGAAAAAGGATTGGATTGACAAGAAGAAGGGGTCAATTGGCGAGACAAAGGATTCAATCAGCAAGACATGGGAACTTGGAGGCAAGATGGGAAATTTATTCAGGACAACAAAGGAAGGATTGGCAAGCAGCATTGAGAAGGGGAGAGAAAACTAATAGAGGAATTCTTCCAACGGTATTTTCCAAATTCATATCAAAAATTGAATATTTCAATCACAGAGGAACTCAACATGGAACAATCAGCAAGCAGAGATGGCAGAAGTTAAGGACTCGATTCAACAAATTAAGGAGATGGTGATGTCACTAATAAATCAAGTAAAGAAACCACAGGCTATACCAATACCTGAAACTCCACCGCCACAAGGAAATCTTTACGATTTGCAACTTCAACACCATACACCGGAATGGCGGGAATGGAAACTACTATTGGCACAGGAGAAGAAAGCTTGCTAGGGCTGGCAGTAACTTCATCAGAAACTAGTCAGACTAGGACAAAATCCAAAATCAAGCTCTTGGACAAAGAAAAGGGTGTAGTTCTGGACACAAGGAAGTTGAACTTAGACTTTGACGGATCAGAAGTGGAATTGCTTATCAAATGTGTAGAGAAGATAGCTTCCTTGCACAAAGCTGGCGGACAGGACTTAGCTCTTCAGTTACCATTCATGATCAAGGACAAGAAGATTAGCGAGTGTATTGAGAATATGGAAGGACACAAGAATCAGGATTGGGAACTTTTGAAGAAGGAACTCATTCAGAAATGGGGACAAGCAACACCTCTTAGACGATTTAACGAGAATTTGGTGTTGACATTGGTCAGCAAGTACATGGACAAAGGCGGGATTCAGACAAAGGAGGAATACAGGACTTTTATTGGCAAACTTGAGGAGATTTTGGTGTATTTGACAAAGACGGATTATGAGGACGTGAATGCAACAAGTGGCGAACCCCTTTGGAAGGCAATTTTGACCAAGATGTGACAGGAAGTGGCAAAGGAGTTGGCACACAACAAGAAGTTAAAGAAGAACAAGGATGGGAAGGCACTGGTACCGAAGTTGGAAGTGTTGAAGGACTACGTGGAAGCCTTATTATCAGTGTATGACTTGGATGTGGGAATCACTAAAGTTAAACCTGCTATCAAGGAATCCAAGAATAAATGAGAAGTCCAAGTCAAAGCCAAGTCAGAAAGTGGAACCGACAAGGTGGAGGCATTGGAAGAGTAAATTAAGGAGTTACGTACTGAGATGAATACCAATCAAAACACTAGATCATTTCTGCCACACTTTTCAGCGCCAAGACCACCAAATGCAGGATTTAGACCGCCAGGGCCAGGAGGACCTTCATTTCAGAGACCACAGCTTCAATTTTTTTATTGTAAGGAGATGAACCATACCTCAATGTTCCGTCAGCACTTGAATGAAGATATAACTAAACACCTGGTTTTCAAGCAAGGGCCAAACTTCTATTACCCTAACCGGGAAGTTATTCCGACTGACACTGGAGAATCAATTCAATAATTGGTAAGAAAATTTGGTGAAAAATTGAATGCAGCCAAGGAGACCAGTGAGAAAAGAGCAAATCCGATGATGAGTGAAGAGTGTTCCCAACCAAGCTGACAAGAACCAACGGTGTCCATGATCTCTACAAATTGATGGGAAGCCTGGAGTTCGCCGGAAATGCACTACGGCAAGGAAGACAAGGAGAATTTGATTGGATTTGGGCTTCAAAGGTCTGCTCAAACCAACAAGGACAAGGAAAAGGAAGTACAGCCACCGGCATTCAAACCAGAAACATCCAGAAAACCCAAGGAATCTATCTAAAAGACTCCACCCGGAAATCAGGAAGCTAATAAAGATCTGGCAACTACTCGCAAGAGACGAACAAGTTATCCGGGAGCATGGGTGGAAGGAGAATCAGACAACAAAAGCAGCAAAGGCGACAATGCAGAAGCGGAGAAAATTGTGTCACAAACACCAGAGAAGACGGTAGAAGAGAAGTCAGCCAAAGAAGTATTTTCCCGAACCGTGGATCAGTCTAAAGTTGGGGGGGGGGACTTAGAAACAAATTTCTGAAGCAAAGTTTCACACTTACCTTGGAAGAATTATTATTAATTGTGCCCAAGTTTCTTCAGGAATTACAGACAGAAGCAGAAGACAATTCAATTCCGTTGGAGAGAAGTCAGAACTCTGGGTGGTGTGGTCATTGGAATTTCAACAATAGGGAACCCCATCAACATTGGGAAAAGGGTATGAAAATGGGAAATAATGCACTTAATTATGCCTGTCCTTTGGGGTTTATTGAGATTTGGATTGCTGGCCAGAAAGTCCGAGAGCTAGTGGATACGGGAGCAGAAGTGAATATCATTCCGGAAACCTTGGCAATCCAGTTGAAGTTACCAGCACGTGAGATTAGTACAAATATTATGGGAATTGGCGGATATCCAACACCCATTGTAGGACTAGCCAAAGGTGTTCATTTTTCCATTGATGAAGAAGATGAGAAGGTGGCTAATTTCTTTATTGCTTGATGTAAATTTTATACAGTGCTGGGAAGGCCATTCCTAGCAGATCATAAGGTACGTCTAGAATTATCAAAGAGTTGTGGAGAGATACTGAGTTACGAGTTATGGGATGGAGGAAGATTATGCATACCTATTTGCTCTCCCAAGATTCCAGGTTGGGAAATGGCTCCACCACACAGGATATCAGATAAGTATTCCAGCATGCAAGTGAAGAACTATGAGTATACAAGCGTCAGATCAGTCTTGAGCATGAATTCAATTTTGATGGATGACAGCAGAAGTGGATCAATGGACAACAGCAGATTAATAGACAATAGTGGATCAACGGACAACAGTGGATTAATGGACAACAGTAGCCCGGCGGAAGTTGTAAACAAACTAGAAGAAACCTTGGATCAAGACAACAAACAGAAGGAGGCTGGCAGTACGGAAAACCTTGGCGGAAGAGAGGATTACGTGGCAGGTACATTTACAATCACAGCGGATTATATTGATGATGGATACCCACATAGAAAATTTATACAAATGTTCCCTGAGGATCATGGATCAACAGCAGAGGGAGATTTGAAGGAGTTACCAGGGTATCCAACGGGTCGTATTGGATTCATAATGCTACTATATCAACGGTGGGCCGCTACACTAACCGTAGCGGTTAGTGTAGCGTAACGCAGCGGAATTCCCGTTAGCGTTAAGCGTAGCGTAGCGGAATTCCGCCACGACACCGCTAACGCTACGCGTGTGGGCCACAAAAAAGGGCCCACTACGCTGCGCTACAGCCGTTTTTAGCCGCTTTTTCCGCTAAAAGCGCTGTAGCGCAGCGTAGCGTAGCGAAAATGCGCTACAAAAGCGCTAACACTACAAAAATTTGGCGCAAAAAAAGCGCCGCTACGCTACGCTTTTTGGGCCAAAAGCGTAGCGTAGCGTAGCGTAGCGTAGCGGC